ACTCAGAATACAATTTACTTATTTATTTACATTTGTATCTCACCTTTCTATCCTGGCTTTGTTCTTGCTAAGAAAAATCACACATGCAAGGGCAACCATGCAGCAGATGTTCCCCTTTCATGGGCTGACTGCTGCATGACTGATCATGGGGATATCTTCAAAACATCACCTGGTAAGGGCAGGGGACTATACTATTTTGCAGTGTAACCTTCTCTCTTACTATCCAGTTGTGAATCAGTTGCTCAGAGCAGAGATGAAAAGAGTTTCTGAGGCTATAAATCTTATCTCCCAAAGTAATGAAGGATTAAGTTGTCTCCAAGCTCTGACATAAGAAGCTTGATCAGCCATTAAGGAGCCATCTTCTGACAAAGGAGCTGTGGAATAAAAATAATCAAAAGGAATATAAACATATTAAAAGATTTCTAGTTGGCACTTAATGGCTGACATCCAGAAGTAAGTTGCAACTAGAATAGGCCCATTGGATCGGTAGGGATTTGTTAAATAAACACCTCCATAAATTCTATCGATTAAGTAGGTCTACATTAGTTCTGCCTTATTCCTGGATTTCAGCCACTGAGTTAGCTTCATGTCCACTGGTACATTGTTATTAAAAAAATATGTATTCGCGAAGGCTTTCACGGCTGGGATCTAATGGCTGTTGTGGGTTTTTTGGGTTCTTTGGCCACGTTTTCCCAGTTGCTCAACAACATGGTATAATGGTGATGAGCTTTGTAGATGTCTTGCTCAGAAGAAGAATGAATATAACAACATTTTGGAGTCATCTATAACTGAACAATGGTAAGATGATGCTCTGGGGTCCAGAACATCATCTACTAATGCTCATTTATGGATGGCTTTGATATGACATTGTATTCCTTAATCTTAAAAGTAGCTTAGATGGTTTCCTTATCTTCTCTGGTAATACTTACACTCAACTGTGCATTTAGATGCTGGAACCTTTACTAACCATATGGTGACATATCCAAGGGTAAATAACCAGTCTACTTGATAGCATAGAAGGTTTGAGTAGTATAAAGTGCTTGTGTGAGAGTATACAGGGCAATATCACAGTTGTGCAGTCAGCTCAGGGAAGGGGATTAAGGATTATCTTTGGTTATCCTCACAACAGGCTTGTAAAGATTAGGTTGAGAAGAAAGCAAGCAAGTGTAGGAATCTATATAAGAATGTGAACTGGGTTTCTCTAGTCCAAATCCAGTACCCTTATGATCCTGACTCTTGGGACTCTCTTCTGAGCCTCATTGTACTTTCTTAATGCTGCACTAGATTTTCTTATAGGTCAAAAACATTGAACCCCCTTGCAGCCAGGCTAAATTACTGGGACATCTAACACAGAAATGGGGTGGTGGTGATGGGCATGTATATGAGATACGAGTATAATTCCAATAAATAATAAGTACAATAAATAAGCAATAAATAAGCAATAAGTCCAATAAATAAATAAATAAATAATAATTCTTATTACCTGCACTATGGGTGCGAGTTTTTTTTGTGGAAGTTGGGTTGAGGAAGGTCTGTAGGGACTCCCATTTGAGACAGGAAATTTAACTCTTCACTTTTGCACCAGCTTCCTTGACTAAATCTCTATTCCAGCACTGCTGATAAGACCTGCTGCAAGGGATTCATGATTGTAATCCACTGTAGCTGTCCTTGCCCATTCCCCTTTCTCTTTAATCTCCATTGCAGAAGCCATCACACAAGGAGTTTTGAAAAGAAGGGAAATCAGTGAAATGTCTCCCAATCTCCAGTTTTTCACCAATTTTGTCTGCGAAATGCAGCCAATTTGGTTCTGGAGTATCTCTAGAGGATAGTCTGTTTTGGGGAGGGGAGAATCAGCAAAAGCCTAAGGAACAGCTTGGGACGGGTCTTGTGAACCTTGGGGGCAGTTTTAAAGGGAAGAAGGACTCAATGAAAATCAGACATTTTGAATCAACACCCTGTTTAAACCAGCAATCCTAAAAGCCAGTACCTTTAAGTTGCATGCTTATTTACATTTCAATATGATTTGACAAAATGATGGGATGGGCTATCTCTCAATGCAATTATTTGCAGTGGATTCAAAGGAAAAAGGCTTTAGCTTTTTTGAACTAAGCTGCTAGAATGGTGCATATAGATGTCTCCATAAGTGGTGACAGTGTCATGAACAGTTGCACAATGACTTATCAATAGGTATATGAATATACCTATTGTGGAAGACAGGAGGGCCTGGCAAGCTTTGGTCCATGGGGTCAAAGAGTTGGAAATGACTTAATAACTAAACAGCAATATGAATATAATAGCAGGGATGGTTCAGAATTAATTTTCACGTTGCAACGAACTTTAAAATGGCAAACTTCAAAAAGTCCCATTATTCTGAAAACATAAAATCTTGTGTTATATGATCCTAGGCACACCTAGGATCAGAAAATCAAAGCTAGTGTAGATCAAGATTGAGATTCCTTTCAAGAGGCTGCCGAAGCATTTGTGTTCAGGATCAGGACATGGATACTCCCCCCCCCTTTTATTTAAAGGAAAAAGCCAAGTGCTAGCCAGACAGCAGGGCCTCCACAAAAGCTCAAACATGTAAAAATGTTTAATTCTTACTTTGAGCTCCAAAAGCATATAACTATGGTGATCAATTTTTATTCAAGAGGCGAGAATACTGTAACTACCATTATCCATATCCAGGATACCCAATGGTAGGAAAGGATGAAAAGTACACTGCAACAACTCTTGGAAGGTCACATGTTCCCTTTTTTGTTTTGAAGCCCAGCACCTGTACCTATAAGATGTTGTTGGACTTCCTCCTTCTTTCTGCTAGTTACAGTCTGCAGAAAAGCAAGGCAAACAAAAAGCAGCTAAGCTTGGTCTAGCCTCAGTGCAGCTGTACTTCTTAAGCCAAGCATGTGTTGCTTTTTTAAAACACATCATAACAGTATGTGGTTGAAGCATGATACATAAATTGCAGTGCATGGTAAAAATATTGTATGATTGCAAAGATCCCCGGGTTGTCTTTGCTCAGAGGCACCATCTGCTCCATTGGAAGCAATCCAGATGATAAGGGACACCTGTTTGTCAGTCCATTTGCACATGACTAAATTTGGACCTAAACCCATAAGCTACATACATATGAAATAGATGTATTATATAAGCATGCTAGGTAAAAAGAGAATATTCATCTTTGTTACCTCATCCTGACTTGTGGATTTAGACTTGGCCGGGATTTGAATGGAATACTAATCTGTCTCGCAGAAGAAAATGTAACAAATGCAGTAAGTATTAATTTTAAAATGCTTACCTGGAAAAAGATTGAGTTAGAAGTAACTTACAAAAAGCATGTGTGACTCAAATGGAAATACAAAGATTTTTATTATGTGAGAAACATATAAAAATATACTTATTGAAATGGAGAGAGGAGATTTCCAAAATGCTAATAGTAGTAGTTTAGTCGTTTAGTTATGTCTGACTCTTCGTGACCCCAAGGACCAGAGCACGCCAGGCCCTCCTGTCTTCCACTGCCTCCCGGAGTTGGGTCAAATTCATGTTGGTTGCTTCGATGACACTGTCCAACCATCTCATCCTCTGTCATCCCCTTCTCCTCTTGCCTTCACACTTTTCCTAACATCAAGGTCTTTGACAGGGAGTCTTCTCTTCTCATGAGATGGCCAAAGTATTGGAGCCTCAGCTTCAGGATCTGTCCTTCCAGTGAGCACTCAGGGTTGATTGAATGCTAATACAGTCATTTAATATTGTATTTTGCTCAACACTTATGGATTTGGGGCATGCCATAACAATAAATCAAAGTAGAACAAATTGTCAATAAAATCATTGTTTTTTTCTCCTGAATACTTCTTAAAAGCATCCCTAAGATACAGAATGAGTTGGAAATCAAAAGAGCAGGGAGGTAATAGACCACTTTGTTTAAAGTGCTAATATTTTGATAAGGAGGACAATGATATAAAGGAAACTATGGGCTGGCTTCGTGTAATATAGTACAATGCAGTGAATAACAAAGAAGTCCATTACAGCTCCCCTCTACAACACAGAGATTTGGATCACCCCGCAAAAACAGAAGACCATCTGTCAGTGGGTTGTGAATGAAAGAAACCTCAGTGGATCACTTACTTCTGGGTACCTTTTCCAGTGTTTTGATGACAGCATTGTGCAGCACTTGAGCTGCCTATCTTGCCAAATCTAGTTGGACAGCAGATTTCTCTAGCTAATGTTTTTTTCCTCCTCCCCATTCTATGGTGTGTCCTATATTTAAGTCAGGCCAGAGCTGGGACGTGGTGGCGCTGTGGGCTAAACCGCAGAAGCCTGTGCTGCAGGGTCGGAAGACCAAGCAGTCGTAAGATCGAATCCACATGACGGAGTGAGCACCCGTCGCTTGTCCCAGCTCCCGCCAATCTAGCGATTCGAAAGCATGCAAATGCAAGTAGATAAATAGGGACCACCTCTGTGGGAAGGTAACAGCGTTCCATGTCTAAGTCGCACTGGCCATGTGACCACGGAAGATTGTCTTCGGACAAAACGCTGGCTCTATGGCTTGGAAACGGGGATGAGTACCACCCCCTAGAGTCAAACGCGACTGGACAAAAACATTGTCAAGGGGAACCTTTACCTTTACTAGAGCGGGAAAAGGTAAAACTCCCATATATCTCCAGCCAGCATGGCAATTGCTGGCGAATTCTGGGAGATATAGTAAAAAAAAAAAAGTAGCTTTTCCATGCTCTGAATCCAAGTGGGGCACTTAAAAGCTTACCTATGTTATTGTGTACCACAGCCTGATTCATATGTCACTGGAAGAGCCTGTCAGGCCTTACTGAATAAATCAGCTTTATTTAATGCATCTTCCTATTAATAAATCACCTTCCACTCACTCACTCAGCATATCCCTGTGCAAAATATCTTCACAGCACCAAGAACTTCTATACCCCTGGATTGTCAATGGCAGAGCAAACTATAGTGCAAGTCCTTCAGTGGGTCACTGGCATCCCTCCTCATCACCGGAGGGCCATGAAGAGAGTTCTAGGGTCATGGTATCCCAAAAAATAGGGCATGGGCATTGGCCAAAGAGCAGCTGACTGCCCTTCAGAGGTGCTTCTTGGATCCAGGGTGGGAGCAGACACTGGAGGGAAGGGGAGGCCAGAAGGCAGGCTGGCTTCTCTCCTGTTGAAAGGCTGCTGCTGTGGGGAGTAAACATAGGATAGGGGACCATTTTGGGGTCCAAAAGGCAGTGGGTTATAGAATGGAGCTGAATGGAAGGCTTCTGGCCTCATCTCTTGCAGTTGACGTTTCAGCTTCATCCGCCGGTTCTGGAACCAAGTCTTGATCTGCATAAATGAAAGAACCAACATGAATGGTTCCATATCCTTCACTAGCAAATTGTACCACTTTCTTATACAACCAAAGGCCATATGGTATCTTTAAAGGCTGGTATTATGAGATGCACTAGTCCATGCTATAATAAAAATGCCAAAATAAGTAATAGTTTTTTATACCAAGGAATCCTCAGCTGTCTTAGCTGCAAGAGACTTACACAGCTACCCACCAAGCAGACTGAAAGTATTTAGAAGTTTGATACTATTCTGCCCAATAATTTAGAGTAATTAAGACAATGGATTATGTGTTTATTTCATCTTTACAGCTATAGGTTGCTCCCTTTCTCAAATCCACTGCAATTTACCGAATTAAAAATAAGGCACTAAGTGGAAAACTAGTAGCACAATAACAATTTTTAAAGTGTTAAAACATCTTCAAGCTTGCTAGAGGAGCAATCGAAAGCTAAAATATTCTTATGAAAAGCTAAAAACTCTTCTTAGTCAAAGGAAACTCCAAATGTTGAAGTATTTTGTCTAAAGAACAAAGGAGCTCACCAATGAGCAACTTATAAGCAATTAAATAAACCTACATACCTAAGCACTTTTTCCGGGAAAATAAGTACAGGTGCCTATTGTTGCTAATGTTTCTATGCATATAAAAGAAAATAATCAAGGCAAATAATTTTTTAATTTTTTGTAACTATTTTAACTGGAATGCCAAAAAACCCACATGCCCTTAAACTAAACTGACACTCTCCCCAGCCCTCAAATTTCTTCAGCCTGCTTTGAAGTCTTTATATTTGTGTTAGTCTGTCAGTGCAAGTGGACTTTGGCTGAAGAGACAATGTAGTTTTATGAGGGTGGGGGAGTGGGGTCAGTGGTGTGTGGGGTTTCAAATTATAGTTTAAGCCAGTGGTTCTTAACCTTGGGTTACTCAGGTGTTTTTGAACTGCAACTCTCAGAAATCCCAGCCAGCACAGTTGGTGGTGAAGGCTTCTGGGAGTTGCAGTCCAAAAACACCTGAGTAACCCAAGGTTAAGAACCACTGGTTTAAGCCATTAGCAACATATCTCAAAAGGCAGGAAGGCCCACACATTCATAAGACAACTGGAAGTGAGGTGAAAAATTCTTTGCAGCTCTCCACAAATAAAACTGCTCACCCCCCCAAAAAAACAGATTTTCTAACTGCATTCATGTCTTCTCAGACAGACACCCCCATCACAAAGTGCATGTTGCTCTTTGCTTACACCCTCTTTCAGTGGCATTTTTCTCATAGTAATAGCTGGTTTTTGTCTATTGTGATGATTCATTTATCAATCTGCCCTAGTTCAGCAACAACATTACCGATTCATTTATCAACCCACCTTAGATCAATATAAAGTTATGCACCCTACAAATCCTGCCAAAATAGGTATTTCTCCCCTGCCCTCAAACATTGGGCTTTCCCTCCCCTAGGAGCACAGTAGTCTTTAAATGCTTTCAAGCTTCTGGATGCTCACAAGGATTTTCTTCCCATTGACCCCCCACCGCCCGCTCCTACCAGTTGCTTTTTTCCAACTTCACACTACAAAATATGAAACTTCATCATCTTTCACTATCTAGGGAGGATGAGGACAGATCTCCAATCCCTTTGACTCCCTCCTGTACCCTCCGGACTGACCTGAACTTCGGAGAGCTGCATCTTGGTGGCCAGCTTGCGTCTCTCTGCAGCGCCCAAGTACTTGTGCCGCTTGAAGGAGCTCTCCAGGGTGCTGATCTGCTCCAGGCTGAAAGCGGTACGTAAGCGACGGGTGCTGGTGCTTCGGACGCCGCTGCCACTTTCCGGGCTCCGGCGCTCGGAAACGCTGCCCTCGCCGTCGGAGCCAGACTCTGTAGCGCTCCACGCCTGCTTCGGAGCAGCTAATGCTGATGGCAGAAAAAGAGGGCGTCAAGGATCGTGTCAATAAATTGAAAACCTTCCGTAGTTTCCCAGTAAAAACATCCTACGTGATAACTCTCCGGACGTCTCATATTGCATCTCCTATCACCCCCTTATCATCCCCAATGGCTAGGGCAAGGGCGGTGAATCGTTGGCAATCTATTTGTTTTTTAAACTATAACTCCCACAGGCATTTAGAACTGGCAAGAGAGGCTGGGGATTCCGGGAGTTGTACTCCAAAAAATCTGGATTGTCAAAGCTCTGAGCTAGGGGATGACTGGAAACACGGTCCGTATTGAAAGGAATGGGTGTATAATCTGCAGATTAGGAAACCATATGCGCCCAAAGCAGCAACAACAAACAGTTTTGCGATACCTTACAGATTAATATGGTGTATGTAATATAAGCTTTCCTGGACAGCAGATGCATCAGAGGAAATCAGCTTCAGGAAAGCTTATGCCAAATAAAATTAGCTTGCCTTGGAAGCTTTTCTGCAACGGATTTAATATGACTAGCTGACCCTTGGAAATATATTTATTTATTTTTATTTATTTATTTAAAATATTTTTATCACACCTTTCTACTTGAAAAGGACACAAAGTGGCTTACAACAATTAAAAGCAATATTTAAAGTTGCAAACGAGTATACAACAGTGCTCGGAATCATTACAAGACAGTATTTAAAACTACAAACAATGAATAAAGGAGTATCTTACAACATTAATAGGCAATATTAAGGCAGAGATCAATAAGTATACAAAAAAGTCACTCTGAGAAATGGAAAATGCAAAAATGGAGAACACAAATAGCACCAAAAATCCAGTCAAAGCAGTAATGTATGGCAACTCATCTATAAAACACACAAAGGTAGCTGGTTTACTGAGGGAAGACTTGCGGAGTCACTCGTTCACATAAGCTCCACTACTTGCACCCAGTCTTGCTCGCTCACTTACTGGCCACCTTACTCGCAACCCAGGTTGAGAGTTCGATTCCCCACTGTACCTCCTGCGAGTAGAGCCACCTCTTTAACCATAGGCAAGCATCAGTCCCGGGATGCCCCCAGAAGAAGGGGTAAAGTATTCTGAGTATTCTCCACCCAGAAGACCCTGCCAAAAGTCTCCATGACTACTTTCTATTAGGTCTTTAGACCCTTCCATTTCGCTTCATGCATTTGCAGGGATTCGAGATAGTGGTGGTATTTTCTGTTGCAGCATTTAGGAATCCAGAGAAAAGGCGAGCAGCCAGAATCCAGGCAAACGAGTTGAATCGGCCGCCTTAAGTTACCTGCGGAGGAAGAAGAGGAGGTGCCCAGGTTCTTCTGGAGTGACGGGAGATGCTTGGAAGGCGCTTCCTCGACTTCGGGTCCAACCGTCCCGTCGTCCAGCTGGCTTCCTCTTCCCGCCTGCTGGCCGTCGGGCGAAGGATCGCCTTGTTGAGCCGGGATGCCGTCGGGAAAGGAGGACGAAGCGGCCTCTTTGCCCTCTCTTGCCCTGGTCCGGCGTTGCGTGCTCGGTTGGCTGCTCTGAGAAAGCCACTCGACGGAGAAGGGCGCCTTGGTCATGGTGCTGGCCGGCCTCTCCCGCTTTCTTTTCCTGCCGCCGCCGCCGCCGCCTTCGGGTTGTCCCGTTGAGGGGAGCGATCCTGACCACTTGGGGGCAGAGGTCTGAGCGTGCCGCCGGAGCCGGATTTGTCTTATAAGGGCCGGCCCCGCACCCCTAGCCGCTGGTGTCGATAAACATCAAAGAGCAGATAAGTACCTTCTAATTGTCATCAGGCGTCCCCGACAAAAGCGCTCTTCACACTTTTCCCAAAGCCCGAGGCATACTGGCTCCACGATGTCTGCCCCGAGATCAGTAAAACTCTGTTGTTAGCGATTTACACTACCTGTCACATCCTTTGCCCTAGCCCAAGCTGGCCCCGACCGGCCCCCTCTATGTAAGTGGCGCTTACTGCCCGGCTTTTATGGCGGGAGGCTTCAAAAGGCCATTGGGAATTTAAATATACACAGGGATTTGGCGAGGGTCTTTCTCTTCAAATATACATTTTCGACTAGTTTTTGGAAATACTCTCCCCCTCCCCCCCTTTTAGTTTAGTTGTTTTTTTAAAGACAAGGCCATGATGTAGCTCAGTCCTACAGATACAGTTCCTGAAGCAGCTGCCAAGGTCCTAAGATGGTTTTCAGGATAGCATAAGTGATTCGTTTAGTCCTTTAATCGTGTCCGACTCTTCGTGACCCCATGGACCAGAGCACGCCAGGCCCTCCTATCTTCTACTGCCTCCCAGAGTTGTGTCAAATTCATGTTGGTTGCTTCGCAGACACTCTCCAGCCATCTCATCCTTGGTCGTCCCCTTCTCCTCTTGCCATCACACTTTCCCAACATCAGGGTCTTTTTCAGGGAGTCTTTTCTTCTCATTAGATGGCCAAAGTACTGGAGCCTCAGCTTTAGGATCTGTCCTTCCAGTGAGCACTCGGGGTTGATTTCCTTTAGAACTGATAGGTTGGTTCTCCTTGCAGTCCAGGGGACTCTCAAGAGTCTCCTCCAGCACCACAATTCAAAGGCATCAATTCTTCGGCGGTCAGCTTTCTTTATGGTCCAGCTCTCACTTCCATACATCACGACAGGAAAAACCATAGCTTTGACTATTCGGACTTTTGTTGGCAAGGGGATGTCTCTGCTTTTTAAGATGCTGTCAAGATTTGTCATCGCTTTCCTCCCAAGAAGCAGGCGTCTTTTAATTTCGTGGCTGCTGTCTCCATCTGCAGTGATCATGGAGCCCAAGAAAATAAAATCTGTCCCTGCCTCCATATCTTCCCCTTCTATTTCCCAGGAGGTGATGGGACCAATGGCCATGATCTTAGTTTTTTTGATGTTGAGTTTCAGACCGTTTTTTGCACTCTCCTCTTTCACCCTCATTACAAGTGATCCTGAATGGAGAGAGGGGGCTGGGGAAAATATGGGATTCCTGCCAGTGTGTTGCTGTAAATAACCAGGGGCTGAAACCCAAGTTGCAACTAGAGCAGACACAATGATTCAATGGAACTTACAGAGGACCAAAGATCAGAAAGACATAAGGATATGTGCTTATGTAAATTGATCGTTCCTTTCTAATAATGAATGACAAAAGGCTTATCCATTTGTGAACTGTTCATTTTAGTCCAGCTGTGGTTTGATAAAGGTGTATGCTTCTAATCCTATGCCTGAAATTCAGCAGTAAACTGTGACTAGACCGGTCTCATTGGATCAGGAGTCACATTGATTCAATGAGACTACTCTAGTTTTGATATGTATCAAAAACATATAAGGATCTTTTCTGGGTCAGAAAGATATATTGGAGGCTCTTGCACTAAGTAGGGGGGCTTAAGTTCTTAAGAAGCTAAAACTTTTAATTTTTTCTACCATCAAGGGTGGGTGGAATTGGCACAAAGAACTGAGTAGTTTTACAAGTCACTTCTGTAGGAAACAGTGGTGTTTTTTTCCACACAGTATTTTCTTTATTTTTTTTCTTCTTTACTGAGCTCTTATGAACATTTTCAATATATAACTTAGTCACACAGCTAAATCTGTAGCTGAAATGGGCATGCAGTCTAACTCTGTCACCAGATTTGATGTTTGGAAAAACCAAACATTTCAAGGAGTGAAAACACATATCCAAACTTCCCTGAGTGCAGTGTCAAGTGAATGAAGATTGTGATGTTTCAATGGAAAATGAATAAATAAATGAATAAACTTGGTGGTCTTTAGAGTAAAAAACAAAACCCACAGCAAACCCTGGTGGAATGCTCATCTTCTTAGTCTTAAGAAGCCTGTGGTAATAAAATTAGACCAAGCCCTTATTCCTAACAAGGCCTTAATGACTCCATTTAGCCCCAGACAAAAGAGTGCTTTGTCCAGGTATGTGTTTTGCATTCTAGATTCCTATCTTTACACCTTGACTTTTCAAGGCAATAAAAGACTAGACAAATGCTGTTAGTTGGGGGTGGGGTGGGAGGGTGGCAGCATCACCTAGTTGGCATGCATCTGGATAGAAATGAATTTCCCTTCAGGCCAGTGTAATCAGGACCAAGTAGATGGATTTTGCTCTGAAACTATTGAGAGTTTCACTGAAGTCTGGCAGTTGCTGTCTTGGATCTTCTGAAGTGTTTTCCCTCTAGGGAAGATTGGCTAGAGGGTTTTTTTCCTTCCATCCTCTTTGTCTCCCCCACCCCACCCCCACATCACCTGTAAGATTAGGCTGCTGTTGGTGATACAGAATCTGGATGTTTTAGTCTGATAAAGTAATTTCTCCAAGCTTTGCCCTCCCTGCTATCCTGATATACCACTCAGGTAAACTGCATCTTGTAAACTCAACTTTGTGCAGGAGACTTGCTCCTGCTTCAATCCTGCAGTGGCCCCTACAGATGGAATTGGAGGTACAGTGGTGCCTCGTATAACGAGTGCCCCGTTTAACGACGAATCCGCATAGCGATGCAGATTTTGCAATCGCAAAAGCGATCACATTGCGATGTTTTCTATGGGGAAAAATCACAAAGCGATTTTTCCCCATAGGCCCCATTTTCCCCCAGCTGACTGGCGGGCACTTCCAAGTGGCAGCGGTGGAGGCTTCCCCGGCAGTCACTCCGAAGCCTGCGCCGCCCAGCTGGGGGGAGAAGGTTCGGCGCGCCCGCGGTGGACGCTTCCCCGGAGGTTGCTCTGAAGCCTGCTTCAGAGCAACCTCCAGGGAAGCATCCACCGCAGGCGCTCGGAAGTCAGCACCGCCCAGCTGGGGGAAAATGGCCACCCGCAGCGTTTTCGCGCCTCGCTTACCGAGGCGGCGAAAATGGCGGCCGGATGGGGGATTCTTTGCTTACCGGTGAGTTTTTCCACAATAGGAATGCAGTAAACGGAGTTTAATGCGTTCCTATGGGTTCCCCCCCCCCTCATAGCGAAGAATCCTGATAGCGACGGTAATCCTGGAACGGATTAATGTCGCTATGCGGGGCACCACTCTATGGCAACCAGCAGAATCATCAAGATAAAAGTGTTCCAGATTGTTGCAGCTTTATGCTCTGGCAGACAGAAGAGTAAATTGAAGAGGCAAGGAGCAGAAGTGAAACAAACAGAGCAAAGGAAAGAGGCATTACCAGTGTGGGTTTGTTAGCTGTGCAGCTGAGCACAAGGTAGGCAGTTTTTTTTTTAAAAAAAATTACAAATCTGATGGAAGTTTGTTTGTTCGTTTAGCCATGTCCGACTCTTCGTGACCCCATGGACCTGAGCACCCCAGGTTCTCCTATCTTCCACTGCCTCCCAGAGTTGTGTCAAATTCATGTTGGTTGCTTCGATGACACTGTCCAACCATCTTCACGGATTGCTCTCTTGTCATGGTGAAGGGGCTTGAGTAATTCAGAGAAGCTATGGGCTATGCTGTGCAGGGACACCCAAGGCGGACAGGTCATAGTGGAGAGTTCCGACTAAATGCAATCCACCTGGAGTAGGAATTGGCAATGCCACTCCAGTATCTTTGCCAAGAATGCCCCATGATAAGAAACAAAAGGCTGATGGAAGTATATTTGGGGAAATAGAGTGAGGATTTGACACATAATGCACTAGAAGCAGGGTATTAGGATGCATAGTTATGTGAATATGAGTATGGCAGAAACCTTTATATACATTCAAGGATTATTTCAAATCTTGGCATGGGAGGGTAGTGTTTGAGAGGAACCAATTATCGCAGTACAAGCTTGATGGAGCCACAAGCATAGATAAGAAATTTAGCTACTCAACCAAAGGAGATGGATAAATGAATCATTGCTGATCATTTGATGAGAACTACCAGCTTGGAAGGAGAAATCTCAACTGATAAGAGTGTGTTAGCAAGAAATCCTAGTGTGGTAGAATTAGCAGGAATTCTAGGTCGGTAGCCATGCAGCCTCCAGCAATGCAGGAATTCACAGCTAAAATCACCCTGACCGATCTCCTTTTCTCAAAAAGAAAGCAGCAACAAAGAAAAACAAGCCAGAGCACAGAGTGCTGTCCTCTGAAGATGCCGGCCACAGAGACTGGCAAAACATTAGGTTAGGAAGCACAACCTTCAGAACACGGCCAAAGAGTCCCCAAAAAAACACAACAACCATTAGATCCCGGCTGTGAAAGCCTTCGCGAATACAAAAACAAGCCACCTTCTGAGGTGGTTTGTTTCAATGTTGTCCCTTCTTACCATGATAAGTTTTCTCAGATGGTTCTTATTGTTAGGAGCAAAGTGGTTTTTTGAATGCAGCTTTTAAAGGAAGTGATGTGGTGTGGTGTGGTGTGGTGTGGTGTGTCCAACTGGGCCATTGTACAATTGGAAAACCTGCTTTTAAGAACACAGAATACCATCCAGTGGATTAAACAAAGCATTGGAATGTGTTGCCTTTTGCTACATGCGTCAAGCTCACTTTCATGAATGTGAGGATTTCAAAAGGCATGGCCATTTTCTAAAACCAGAGAGAAAGAGAGAAACAACTTGTTCCATAGCACAAAAAGAAAGGTACGAATATTTGAAGGCACGTGTGCTTCTGTGTGCCAGTTTTCTGGGGAACAT